CACTATACCCGTTTCACCGGTCGTGGGTGGTGGGACGTGGGGGACATTGACATCGAGGTTGACGCCCAACTTTTGACCCGCCGTGGCTACAATTATTTCGTTGTTGTAGCCCACCACTTTTTTTACTCTCAGTTGCATATCGCTCGGAGCCATGTACAGTCCCACGTCGAACACGTAGTCGACTTTCGACCTGGCGTATTCCAACACGTCTTGGTAGCGTTTGATGGCACTCGGGAGATCAACTGGAGCATTGATAGCATCCTCTACGTTGACAACGAACTGTTTCTGAGCGTCGTAAGCAGTCCCTTTGCCTAGGATATTTGAACGCGTTTGCGTCTGCGCACCCAACAGTGCCCACACGTACGTTCGAATCGAGTCATTCAAGCGTTCGGTGCCGGCACGAGTATACCCTTTCGATTCCAACATGAACTTTTTCCAGTCACCCCCCTGCTCGAACCTCCAAACTCGGTAATCCTTGCTGTCGTCGAATGCCATGTAACGGTCATCCCACTCGTTTGTTGTGACGTAAGCATTCGCATACGTTTCACCACCCCATTCTTTCAACTTCTCGCTGGCTTCCACGAGAGGCATGTTGTGAACGATAGGAATACCCAATCCGTGGTTCGGTCCCGGCAAACGCCAATCCGTTTTAGTGTCGATTCCGAATTCGTTGCAAATACGTTCGTAGGCCCGTCTATCGTATTGGTTGTTTACTGCATTCCACGCCTTTTCCTGTGAGAGCGGGGCGCTGATCTCTTTGAGGATACGCCTGACCTGGTAGTACACGTGAAACGTGAACACAGACTGACTCAGCGGTCCACGCCTAGTGTCGGATACACCACACCCCGTTGTAGCGCACCACACGGCGAAGTTGAGTTGATTCTGCCAGAACTGCATCGGGTTGTTGAACCAAGCGTGCACTGTCTTAACGTTAGTCACCGAAAACTTATACTTATCGAACACATCTATGAACTGGGCGTCGAAATACAATCCATCAGCGACCACGATCTTCATGTTTTAAAACTATTATATAATGAGTTTATATAACATGTACATAACACTTCCAGGAATAACGAGCGGCGAGGCCGTTCAGCTGACGCACGCGATCGATAACACGTCGGGTCAACTCGAAATAGCACTGTGCGATATAACCTACCTACCACGATGGACTAACATCAACGCTAGCAACAATAAACTGTTCGTAGGTGGCGCTAGCAACAAGATAATTGATGGTTACTACAGCGTGTGCTCTCTAAGCGACGAGGTATTCAAACCATTGGGAGCCGAACTCAAGATGAACGACTCAAACGGTACAGTGGTGTTAATCAACAACGGAAGAAACTCCTTGCGGCTAGGTCGACCATTGGCGAGGACACTCGGTATGCAGCCTGAAGAGATAAAACCAACGACTACAGTCACAGGCACTAAGTTACCCGACTTAGTACCGTACCGAGAGCTGTGCATTCATCTCAACCAGGTTAGCACAACGGACAATATTCAAGGAGGCCACCCTTCCACTATACTTAGAGCAGTGCCGGTTAAAACGGAGAAATACAACGACGGCAGAACCGAGTCGTTTTCAACGTGGCAATATAAGAGGTTAACCCAGGGCAACATCCCTGAGCTGATAATATCGGTGTTAGATATAAATCATAATCTCGTGAATATAGGATACCTCAGCGTAACGCTGCACATAAAATGACCAGCGCACAAGGTCCCGGAATGAAGTTGAAAAAATGCACCAATGTGGGGATCTCCGATCTCGGGGACACACGCGGATTCGACGACCCCGGAGTAGATGGTAAAGTGTACGCCTTGCAACTTAAAAACAGCATTTATAAACGCGTTGAAGTTTCCGGTGGTACTAGCAACCTAAGCGATATAGTAGATACCTCAAGAGCGGCAGTCAACACTAAGTACACCCTTGTCACCACCGGGGATGATAACTGGATGATATACCCATACGGAGGCAAACTGTTCGACTTAACCGATGTTGAGAGCACTACCGTCGCCCGAAACAAACCATATACGCTCGTTTTCACCGATGATGACAAGTGGGTGTTATTACCGGGTAAAGTCGACTGGTTTCTCAATATTAGGCTCGGCTCCCCCCCTACGTGTTTACGGATAATAAAGACAACCACCTAAACAAAGTCGTGAACAACGGAACCCTGCTCGTGGCTTACATCCCGACTCAGAGACGTAGCGTAGTCATCAGCCCACTCGCCAGTATGGCAGCCCACATGCTATCGAGTAAAGCGGGGATGCAAAACGTGGTATTGCAGTTGGTGTCTGAATTCGAAGGTGTGGTCAGGATCCTGGAGAGTCTACCGGCGAACTCAACACTGGTCATCCAAGTCTACCTAGGGGAACCATCGCGGAATGATGTAGAGATCGTGAAGGGGGTCAAACTCCGGTGGGGGAAACAACAACAGTATCACGTTTGCAACGTTTACGTGCGGGTGGGTGTCGACTCCAAAACCAGTCTGCAGGGTGTCACCGTGGTCGTGGAAGACACTATATCACTAACCAAGATCTTCCTACCCGACAACATACACTTCATGGGGGTGAAGTGCACCCCCTGAACTATTATCAGAAAACCAGTTGGAAATTATCTCGTAATAATATAGCAATGTCTTGGATTCGCCCCAACACTACGATTAACGACTTAGGGGACACGGAGGGATTCGATCAGCCTGGTGAGGAAGACACCTTATACATCCTGCACTTGAAAGACAACGTGTATAGGCGGGTGTCGTTATCAGATTTTAAAGAGCCTGAATGGTTAGTCAACTTAACCCTCACCTCACCTTATATCTCCCTGAAACAAAAGAATACTATCTCCGAGATTAGGAACAACGGTATGATTATAGGATCGTTCGTTCCGGAATCTAGTGTACAAGTCATACCAATACCAGACCACTCGGGCAACATGTTAGCTTCAGACAGTGGGAGGGTAAAGATAGAGATCAAATTACTCGATTACCAAGAGGTTTTTTAGAAATGTTGCGGAAAACTTCACATTCATCATAGACGTCTATCTCGGAGATATAAGTTTGACTAGTAGTTATATTAGCATTATAGATGATATGGTGATAGGTTGGGAAGCCAGGTGTAATAACCAACGTTGTTGTATTATTAAGGTATCAGGAAACGACCCTGTACCAACCCTTGATGGGGTTCGTCTCTTTAATGGACGTAGAGCTAAGACCCCGCTTTTTTTACACGCACGTTAATCTAAGTATTATCGGCTTTAAGTACATTAATCGAAGGTTAAATGAAACCCAATTAAAATATATTATGGGATTGAGCTATATCCCTGAATTAGTACCAGAACACTAGTTGGAAATTATATCGTAATAGTATTATAGAAATGTCTTGGCTTCACCCCAACACTACGCTTAACGATCTAGGGGACACGGAGGGATTTGATAAGCCTGGTCATAAAAACACCTCATACGTCCTATTATTTAACAACGGTGTGTACATACGGCAGGACCTGGCAGTCTTTAAAGAACCTAAATGGGTGATCAACGTGACCACCACCGCACCTTATATCTCACTAGACAAAGATGGTTATGTCTCTGAAATTAGGAACAACGGTACCTTGCTCACGTCTTTCATTCCAACTGAAAGGATGATAGTTTCTAACTCTGAATATTGGCCTAGGGACACCCTGTTAATTTCAGCCAGGAAGTCTCAGTTAATAGCCACCCACCACCATCATTCCATAATAGGGGTTAGGGGTATGGAAACAAACTCCACACTCATCGTAGAAGTCGGTTACAAGGATAAGTTTGATTTGGATGACCTTGACCCATCCCCAAACTTGGAACTTTTACCTGGTGTAACAATACGTTGGGGTAACGACCCCTTAACATCAGGTTTTTTATCTTGCATATTCGTGATACGATTGGGGGACTCCCAACAGGGATTACTACCCCCCCATAATAAACTGCAATGATGTTGAGATAGACCAAAAGTTACCTATTGACCCTTCCCGTATCTACACATATGAGAATCTAAGTTTTATAAGCCTCAGGTACGTTGGCCAACTATTAAATGAAACCCAATTAAAATATCTTTTGTAATATATATTATAGGATGGGACTGTATCCAGGCATAGATGAAGTAGCAAAGACCCTGGAAACCGTAGACGGGTTTCGCTTGAGACAATTATGTGATGTAAGACGCCAACTAGAACAAGATCGTGATAAGCGGAAAGCACTGTGTAAGAAGTACCATAGAGCTTTCAACATCGTGGATGGGGCCGATACTACCCTGATGGCAACTAGCATGGGACTAGGGGTGGCAGGTGTTGGGTTGCTGACAACCATCGTGGCCGCACCCATAGTGCTGGGACTCGAAATAACGGCTGGGGTGTCAGGGTTGGCTGGATTGGTATTTAAGTTTGTTTCTCGCAGACTGCAACGTAAGGCATTGAAGCATGATGAGATCAGAGTTCTGGCTGAAGCAAAGCTTAACACAATAGATGATCATATTTCCACGGCACTCACTGATAACAAAATCTCGGAGGAGGAGTTTCGTTTAGTCCTCTCTGAACTCGCAAAATATCATAGAATGAAACAAGAAATCCGGTCCAAGTCTCGTAAAAGTACTACTATCAGCGAAGACGAGAAAAAAAAGTACATAGAACAGGGGGTACGAAAAGCCCAGCAAGCTTTCATTACCAACACCAAAGAGATCCTAGGCGATTCACGTTAAACTGTTTCGTCGAGGTCAACGTGACATAGTGTCATAGATAAAGTGAAAATAAAAGCAGAGGATACCGTATGACACAGTATTACCTCCCGTCAACACGGCATAGAGACAAGATACCACTATAGTAGAGGTAATGGTAAGGGTCCCCAACAAAAGTCTTATTTGTGAAATAAAGCTTTGTAGAGGGGTAGTAGATGGTAATGGGAAGGGTCCGACTAAGGCTTCATCTATTAAATGAAGCTTTGAGATTACCCTAAATCCAGGCTACCTATACTTACCACGAGCAATGTTAATGTGCAGCAAAAGGTAAATATCTAGCACGTCATCCTGTCAACGTGATTAACGATGACTGGCTCCTGATATGAAAGAAAAAAATATCCTCAAGTGGGTCAGCCCCTGGCTTCCGAATCGTTATCTGTTGCATAAACAGTGGCGTCCTACTGTAAGACTTGAGTACTTGCTGCGGTTGCGTAACAATAACGTCTCAAGGGAAAAGGCATGGGCAAGTGTGTCCATTGCGCGAAGTGCTCCAGTCAAAGATGACACAACACAAAAAGACAGCAATAATATGTATTAAAATAGAAGTCTTGGTTACAGAGTTACAATTTCTGACTGCACAGTCCAGGTGAACCCTAAAACACAATCCACAAGTTAAGTTGGCTTGTTGTCACCTCGACAGTGCAGGCAGAAAGAGCCATTGTACAGATACAAATATGAAAATTAACAATAATACGAGTGATATACAGGATGTGACGACAATACTTATTAGGGGAACAAGATTATTAGAGAATATATAAACACAACATTGGAACAAAAACATATGTGCATATGTGAGCACACAATTCCAAAGATTATTTACATAAATAACTCTAACTATATAACCCGAAAGAATCGCTACACCCCTCCTATCAGAGGATTTATATAGGGCCCCACCTGAGGTGAGGTGAAAGTCACATTAACTTTAAGGGCCAATGGGAAATATATAAATACACATATATACACAAAGTGGTATTATACCCAACACATTTGGAATATATGATACAGAAAACCGGTTTTAATTGATATAAACAATAGCTACGACAGGACACCTGGCCTGTACGACACATGTGGCTAAAGGAAATGGGGTATGACTACCTGTTGGATGATCATACTAGTCAATATGAGGCTAGCTCTAACAGAATGTCAATACACCCAGTAGGTAAACCACTTGGGGCTACCCAGAATGAACACCTAATTATAGTAAATAAATTGATAAGATGTAATACATGGATATTACATTATTTACATTACTACAATTTGCAGGTATATTATTGGCCATATAATATAATACATTATATTATTATTGAATAAAGTGTGACTTCACTTTCACATCAAGTGGGAAACATACTAAGATATGGTTGATGTAACAACATATAGAAATACTACATATTTAGCAAGAAATAATTGTGACTGATATTTCACAGAACAGATTGATATAGGTGCATGGTAGTCAATGCTATGCCTGTTGGCAACGTTTGATTGCGTAACGGCAGACGCGAAGAGAACGAGAAAATAATCTTGTTCAGAAAATAAACAAAGTTTCTGAGATGACAATAATATTCAAATGCTGAATGATTATACTGTGAATATGGGATTACCCATCAGTAGTACTTTACAGATATACTGGATAAAGTGACATGAGATCATAGTAGGCTTTTGCTATGTTAAGATAAACATGAAGCAGACGACGGTCCCTAGTTTTGTTTACATCCGGTGCAGTCATTTTGTAATGAAGCCGGACGGGAACCGTAGTATGCCGAGGAGAGCCGAAGACAGCCAAAGTGGTGTCCTGTTTGGTGGTGAGGTCAGCACTGTCAGTGGGCATGGTCGCCACTAATTGCTTCCAGATGATACCGTGATCCTTTAACTGAGCGCATGGTTTGGAAACCGGGACAATGATACAGCCACTTTTTAATTTAGAATACACGGCAAAAGAGTTCTGTTGTTAACAGCAACAAGTTGTAAATAAATGGAATTTTGAATTTAGCAATGAGGTAGAGACAATTTTGACTGGCAGGTCAAATAAGCGAATTAATGCTAAACACACAAAGCACTTTACTAAAATGAATTTCTAGATGAAAATATATTACAATGAGTACATGTCATTTATTCTTGCCATCGAGTGCACGTTTGGACAGTCACAGATGAGTGACCTTTCGCCAGTTTCGCACAGCAAAAATAATTGATGACACTGACCCTAACACTTGTTTTAATTTTGATTTATCAAATTAAATAATGCATTAATTTAAAAGCTGCAGATAATTACTTATCCTGCTAACAACATGACTATGCATTGGAATTTAATACAGAGACCTAGTTGCAATTTGGAAGCAAACTGAGGTTCTTACCTAATACACAATCCACAAGTAAAGTTGGCTTGTTGTCACCTCGACAGTGCAGGCGGAAAGAGGAAAATTTCAGGCTTGGGGGTCCCACGCTCCCTCTTGCCCCTGTCATGTGACAACATAGCCCCGGGGATTGGCTAAAAAAACTGTTGCCTTGAGCCTCAAAACCCTATCAGATAACTGGTAAAGGGCAGGATATTCAGCCTTTACAATACAGTTGTGAAGAAACATACCAGCCCGTAGAAATCTGGGTTAAAATGTATCTCCAGCAACCCATTACGGAGCGCGACGTTAAACAATAAGCAAATAAAGAAACAAAGGTAATAAAGAATGGTTTCAAAATGAATGTAATTGTAGAAACCCCCCCCCACCCCCACCCCCATAGGAGGAGGTGTTACAGTTGAGCAACCTATTTTCTACCGACATACAGGTTAATAACCAAGATAACCAGACCGCTAGTGTAACACCTCCTCCTATAGAGGAATTTACATATGATATATTAGATTCTTCTATAAGCCATGAAGAGTAACCGAAAGTATAGATAACCTCAAATCTGGCAAATCACCAGGATAGAACAAAATACCTCCTGATTTTTAAATATTTTTTGTTGACATAATTACACCATACCTTGTTTTACTGTTTAACCAGATTTTAGACACAGGGTGCTTTCCGGAATCTTGGACTGTAGGGATTATTGTTCCGATCCATAAACATGGTGAGAGTAATAATACGAACAAATACAGAGGCATAACGTTACTAAGCATATTCAGTAAGATATTCACCTACATTATAAATATATAAAGTTCTGGGCCGACAGTATGAATAAGATAAACGAAGCTCAAGCTGGATGTAGTGAGGGTTACACGAAAGTTGACAATATCTTTATTCTAACAATCCCTTACACAAAGATACTTAAAAAAGAAAGGCTGTAAATTCTGTGCCCTTTTCATTGATTTCTCTAAAGCTTTTGACACGGTAGATAGAAAAAAACTTTGGAGACTTCTTTAATCTCACGGAATTAGCCCCAAAATGAACATGCTCTTAAAAAGCATGAACGATAATGTAAAGGCACGTGTAAGAAATAACAGTGAACTTTCAGATATGTTTAGAATAAATATGGGAGTTAGACAAGGATGAATTCTGAGCCCTTTTCTCTTTTCTTTCATTATTAACGAATTAGCCAGCCCAAACCAGGAAAACTGTAGGTATGGAATACAACTACACCCCGCTACCATTGAGCTTTTCTTACTACATTTTGCAGATGATGTTACAATGTTTTCAACCACAATAAACGGATTCCAGCAGCAAATGTGGGTACTTGAAAAATACTGTGAAGATTGCAAAATTGAATGTAAATATGGGCAAAACTCAAGTTTTTTAAAATGGAGGTACATTGGCGAAAAATGAAAAGTGGTTTTATAATGGGCAGATGTTAGAAACTGCGTTCTTCTATAAATATTTAGGTGTCTATCTTACAGATCGCCTCAGTTCGAACTTACGTGGTAAGGAGGCGTCAAACCAGGCTAAGAAAATACTGATAGGAATTGGCAATAACCTTTCTGTACTTTCAGACAATCATACATTAGCTTTTTCAAGGTATTTGACGCAAAAATAAGCCCAATACGACTTTATATGTGGGAGGTATGGGGACTTAAAAATTATGATGCAATTGAAGTAGCACATTTATTTGCGTGTAAAAAATACCTAGGAAATAAAACAAATACTCCCAGTGTTATGGCGTATGGGGAAACGGGGCGTTTTACTATGTGCATATATATATATGTGTGTGTGCTTATATAAAAGTAATTAAATATTGTTTAAGACTCATCCATATGCTCCCTTACAGATGCCCACGAAAATGCTATGAAATGATGTTAGTACATAATAAATACAAATTGGGCCAAACACGTGAAGGAGATTTCTTTTAATACATGTTTTAACTACATTTGGTATGATCAACATGTAAACTGTACTTAAAATTTCATAATGACTTTTACACAGAGGTTAAAATATATATTTCTGCAAGATTGTTATCACACCCTGAGTTTGTCGAGTAAATGTTTCTATTACTAGCAGCTAAAATCCACTATTGAAACTGACACGTATCTAAAGGTTATAAATGTGAAGAAATTTAGGAAGCAATTGCAAGGCTAAGATTTTCATCCCATGATCTCTTTGTGGAAACAGCATGGTACACAAATATCTCTGGAGAAAACAGATATTGTGCATTTTGTAATTTGAATAGCATAGAAGACGAATATCATTTACTTCTTTTATGTCCATTTTATTCAACAATAAGAGAAACATATCTGTCTAATTATTATAATAGACACCCAAACACTCACAAATTTATTGATCTATTGAGGTTCGCATATCTCTAATCCTACGAAAGGTATCAGCATTTATATTCAATGCTTTAAACTATAGAAAGACTGTCACGTCTTAATTGTGTTATGTAATATCCACGTTAGTGATTGCATATATTCGACCATATGCATATTGTAAATGTACTACAGGCCTGTGGCCTGTTTAGTACTGAATAAACGGATTGAAGTGTATGTGTTATTATTTGTGACCTCACTTATGAAAACCCATTCCTTTAGGGCGTAAAAGACAAAATATCAGTGTAATGTAAGTTATGATTTTTGCTGAAATAGAAGCGACAAAACCCTTTTGACCTGTATAAGCAATCTCTGCTAAAAGCAGAGTCCATTGTACAATGTGACTATATAATGAGCATATATGTGTTTCAGCAGTATTACAGCTGTACGATGTTTGTAATAAATCGAGTCTGGACCATACAATCCAGCGATTGTGCTCATGCGACACGATGACAGAGCTTGTGTTTATGAATCACTCTGAAATAGTGATGATGCTAGGTGTTCGCGAGAAGGTGAGCGTATCCTGCCCCACCAGAGGCATAAACATATGCAAAGTCCAAGGCAAAATAGGGAATTGCATCGGAC